TCTCTCTGAAATCAATAAAAAAATGTTTTAAAAAATGGTTTTGCTTTCTGTAGACTAATGAGACCAGAAATAATACAGAGAGGGTTACATCTAGATCAGTGGTGGCGAACCTTTTGAGCTCTGCTTGCCAGCATTTTGCCAGCACGCCTCCCTGCCGGCTTCCTCCCAGGGCAAGTGTCCACCAACCCCAGAGCCGAGCGCCGGCCAGTTGCGGAATCAGTCACTGCTCCCAGCTGTGCTCTGGCACCTCGGCCAGGCTGACTGCATTAGGGAGCACTGACCCCTTCCCTCCCTCCCTCTGCCCACAGGCTGCATTAAGGAGCAGTCACCCCTTCCCTCCCTCTCTGCCCACAGGCTGCACTAGGGAGCACTCACCCCCTCCCTCCCTCTGCCCGCAGGCTGCGTTAGGGAGCACTCACCCCCTCCCTCCCTCTGCCCGCAGGCTGCGTTAGGGAGCACTCACCCCCTCCCTCCCTCTGCCCGCAGGCTGCGTTAGGGAGCACTCACCCCCTCCCTCCCTCTGCCCACAGGCTGCATTAGGGAGCACTCACCCCCCCTCCCTCTGCTCGCAGGCTGCGTTAGGGAGCACTAACCCCCTCCCTCCCTCTGCCCACAGGCTGCATTAGGGAGCACTCACCCCCTCCCTCCCTCTGCCCACAGGCTGCATTAGGGAGCACTCACCCACTCCCTCCCTCTGCCCACAGGCTGCATTAGGGAGCACTCACCCCCCCTCCCTCTGCCCACAGGCTGCATTAGGGAGCACTCACCCCCTCCCTCCCTCTGCCCACAGGCTGCATTAGGGAGCACTCACCCCCCCTCCCTCTGCCTCCCCCCCCCCCTCCCTCTGCCCGCAGGCTGCATTAGGGAGCACTCACCCCCTCCCTCCCTCTGCCCGCAGGCTGCCTTCGTGGAGCACCTGAACGGCTCCTTCCTCTTCGACAGCATGTACGCTGATGATGTGGAGGGCAGCAAACTGGCCGCTCTGCACGGCGTGGGCGAGCTCCTTGAGGCATATCCTTCCAAGCTCACGCTGCCTCTCTGACCGAGCTCGGCCGAGCCAGTCCTTCCCACGCTGGGCCTCAGTTTCCCCGTCTCTCTTTGAGGCCCTGTCCCCGAGCGGTGTCCCAGTGGCAGGCAGAGCAGGTGGCAGCTGCGCAGAGGTGCGTGGGCTCCGGGCCTGACCGGCAGCATGGCCGCCTGCGTGCTCCAGGAGCCGGGAGCTCGGAGGTGAGCACGGCCTGGGTGGTCTGTGACCCCAGCCCCCCGTGTGTCCCTGGTTCCTGCTGTGCTGGGACGCACCCCACACGGCAGCTGCACAGTCCACTTCCTTCG